ATGATGTGGAGCATTTTTTTTTTTAATTTGAGATGGAGTCTCACTCTGTCACCCAGGCTGGAGTGCGATGGCATGATCTTGGCTCACTGCAGCCTCCGCCTCCCAGGTTCCAGTGATTGTCCTCCCTCAGCCTCCCAAGTAGATGTGGAGAGTGACAGCTTGAAAGGTTTTCTGTAATTCTTTCTCTAGAGACAGTAACTTATAGAGGACAGATTTTCACTTGTCCAAAAGGGTTTAGGACAAACACCAAACAAGAGCGAGGGAACCACATTTTTGGAGATCGCACCCTGCGAGAGCGTTCTCAAATGGTGTCCCATTGAATCCTTGCAGAAGCTCTGCCCAAAAGTATGACTGTGCCCACTGTATAAACAGCAAAACTGAGATTCACTAAAGTTGTGTGAATCACACACTTCCCAAGTGGCAAAATTAGAATCCAAAATCCACTGCCTCTGGTTCATACATTTACATTTCTTCCCCACCACCAAAATGCCTGATGTGAACTCCCTGTCTGACCAAAGGCTACAAGGATAACAACTTCGTGTCTCTTCCTGCTGAGAGTCGCAGTATCTGCCAGTACTGCTTCAGGTGTCCGCCGAAATACTGAGTTTGTTTGCAAGATAAGTCTCCCAGCCTTCTCTGTGTATTAGCAACTCCAGAGAAGGAAGGGCTGCCCGCTTGGCAAAGATCAGACCCCCTGTGTGTTTCACCCTCTGTGCACTTCAAAACCGGGCTTCTACAAGCCAGTTACTCCAGGAGCTTAGCAAAAGGGTAAATAAAATACTCTCCATATCCCTGGAAATCCCCAATAAGAGCTCCAAAGTCTTCTCAAATCAACAAACTCTGAATTAGAAGGAAGGAGATTATTGGGCTTGGGGTTTTGAAATATCAAACCTGAAACAAATATCTCTGATTCTCAGTGTATATGTATGTGAAATAAGGCTGGGCGAGAGGGGAGGGGGATGCATAATGGATGTATTGCATTATGCAATACAGTCCTGGGTGGCAAGGAGTTAATGATAGTAGTTACCATGCCAGTAGCCACACTCATACTATAGGAGTCTCCCGTTCGTCTGTGGGGAACCAGCTCCTTGCAGGGACTGCCTGAGTTTTTCTTGGGCCCAACTGAGTGATAAGCATACAAGGATGCTGGGCCGGGGGAGAAAATGAGTCATCAAGGTGGGACTCCCTTCTGTGACTCATCAGGAGAGTTTCTGAATGGCAGAGGCCTCTAACAAGACACAGTCGGTTCACCTCTAGTATTCTCTGCGCACCTGCAATTTAGGGCCTGATAGCTAGAGCTCCCCTTTGGGAAAGAATTTTAAGTGAATAAAAAGGAAAAGATGTATTTGATGGAAAAGAAAACAATTATTTTCACGATTCAGAAGTATAACAGGAATGTCATAAAGGTTATACTTAATGTACTCAACCTAGAGTTCTTCTAGAAGATCACTCCAAATCCCTTCTCTAACAGGAATAAGGTGGCGAAAGTTCTGGTTACATGGAAAGATCAGACCCTTGCAAAACACTCACACACACCTCATTTGTGTGGTATTTACCATAACCCTTACCAAGGAGGTGGTGTCAGCTCTATTTTAAAGATGAAGAAACAGACACTGAAAGATTGAGTGAGTTTCCACCGGGCTTCAGCACCGTAAAATTTTCATCTCATGTGGGTGCAGTGGCTCACGCCTGTCATCCCAGAGCTTTGGGAGACTGAGGTGGGTGGATCACAAGGTCAAGAGATCAAGACCATCCTGACCAACATGGTGAAAATCCCATCTCTACTAAAAATACAAAACTTAGCTGGGTGTGGTTGCTTGCACCTGTAGTCCCAGGTACTGGAGAGGCTGAGGCAGGACAATCGCTTGAACCCAGGAGGCAGAGGTTACAGTGAGCCAAGATCACACCACTGCACTCCAGCCTGGCAACAGAGCGAGACTCCATCTAAAAAAAAATGTTCTTTCTTCTCTACAACACATGCTCTCTAAAATATTAAGCAGAGCAAAGCATGAAAAACTTTGTTTTTTGTTTGTTTGTTTTTTGAGACAGGATCTCATTCTGTCCCCTAGGCTGGACTGCAGTGGTGTGATCATGGCTCACTGCAGCCTGGAACTCCTGAGTTCATGTGATCCTCTCATCCTGAGTACTTAGCTTTCAAATTGCTGTCTAAAGGTTTCAAATTGCTGTTTAAAGGTTTTGTCATCTGGTAGTGGAGCTTGACAGTAGGCAAGATGTAACTGCCATCTTTATCGTACAGAGGTATGTCCTACCTGAAACACAACCAAATGCTATAAAATTCTCAGGTACAAGTACATGAAGGAGTTACATAGTGGTATTTTAGAGAGAGATTTTGGTTTTAACAAATGTTAATGTTGCACATTTCCTTTGATGTGCTTAAAATATGACCTGATTTGCCCCAACCTGGAATCTGCCTCCAAGAATCCATGCATTGTAGAGCAAGGGACATCTGTACCCTCAGTTCCTTCCCATGGCAAAGCGTTGACTAGAGGTGTTCTCTCTAACCTTGGCTCCCCATTGCGAGGTGATGGGTGGCTTGGACAAAGTGAAATGACCTCAAGAAAGGTCACAAGGCAGAGGAAGAGGAGAGAGGAGCATTTGGGAGCTAATCACAACATAATGGTTATGCCCCATGCAGAGACAGAAAGATGAATGGATTTGCTTTGTCCCACGGTGCCACAGAAACAGGCCGCATTAGTTCCATGTATCCCTAGGTCTACCTATAATACAAATGGGCTCAAGATCTTCATTTTTCACATAAATAATGTGGCGTATGGCTTAGTTTCGATTATGCGGTTGCCATGGCAGTTCCTCCAGTTGGCTCTTTTTCAGTGAAATGAAGAAAGGCATTTGTTAGGAGGCACGGAGAACACACAGGGTTGGTAGGGAAGGGCTCAGGCACCTGGGCAGCCTTTGGGACCACAGGGGATGCTGAGAATATGAGATTTGATGCAGCAGGACCACAGCCTGACCTGGCAGCTGGAAAGAAGGAAGCAGGTTGTGTGGGATTTGGAGCTTGGAGCTTATTCATTCCATCAAGCTGTTTGGGAAGTTTAATGAGGTTTCAACCAGAATCCTTTTCGGAGGTTTCTCTTTGGGGTAACATGCAGCGAAGGTGGAGAGTTCCAAGGAGAAGTACAGAGGCACCTGGCCCAGAGAGCCTGGAGCTCTGCCAAGCTCATTAGCACTGATAGGGTAACACAGCCCCCTCTCACCCCATTCCACACCTGGCATTAAAACCGGGGAAGCACTGCTTCCTTAAGCCTTGCCTTTCTCCCTGGCTGCCTTTGGAGACCCCGCATATTGGAGGTGCAGCTGTGTTTGTGATGCACGTGCTGTTATGCTGGCGATCATGGGGGGACTAAAGGGATCCATGAACCCCCTGAAATATGGGTTTGATTTTGTGGGTAGGTGTCTTTTTCTGGGCTATGGGTCTAGATCTCGCCAAAATCTCAGAAGGACCTTCCTTAATACAAAATGAAATTCACATGCTCTAGAGCTGGGCCTGCAAGGAACACTCCGGATAGAGGGATGTGGGTCCTGGGATCTCAGAGATCGCCACACCTAGTTCCAGAGTTGACCTCCTCCTGCTGCATTCTGTCACTGAAGATGGCTGGCACCTTATTCTAGCCTCAAGAGGACAGTTTTTCGGGAACAGTGAGCTTGTGTCAGTGATTCATCTGTCACTTTCCCATGTACAGATGCACCGTGTCCATCATCTGCACCATGTACAGCTGTCTCTGTACTTCCCTCCCTGCACTCAGAATCACCTGGGAATGTAGAAGTGCTGAGGACCGGGCTGCACACCAAATGCTCCGATTTCACTGGTCTGGGATGGGACACCCTGGATGAGGATTCTCATGGGCAGCCAGGACTGATAACTCAGCGATAACAGCAGGCAGAGAGACACAGAGAGGAGCAGGGGAGGGAGGGGTTTTCATCTCATCTGCCATTTTTGGTGACTGGTTTTAGGTGCCAGAAATGCTCTACTGTGAGGGTTTCAAAACTGGTTACCGACTCCTTCTGAGCTGGGAATATTCTTACCCACTGGTAATATATAGGGGAAGGGAAGTTGTCTATTTGCAGGTATTTTTCATTTTAAACTCTATGTGTATACACGCAGAGGTACTCAAGTCCAGCGTCTGGTCCCTGCACTCGAGCGCACACAGCCCTAAAAGCCCCATGCAAAAGAACACCACACATAGTACGCCACTTCATTGCAGTTCCCTCTGTGAGACCACGCTTCTTTCACTGACACTAAGAATGTTTCCCTTCAGGGAAGACTCTCTTGTCCTTCTCAGGCTCTCAGCAGAGGATGGTGATACTAGCAGCTGTCACTCACTTTCCATGGTCAAGTGGCACAGTACACACCATTCTAGATGCCTTCCTTTCTGGGGATGGAGTCTCCCTCTGTTGCCTAGGCTGGAATGCAGTGGTGCGATCTTGACTCACTGGCACCTCCGCCTCCAGTGTTCAAGCAATTCTCCTGCCTTGGCCTCCCAAGTAGCTGGGGCTACAGGTGTACATCACCACGCCTGGCTAATTTCTGTCTTTTTAGTAGAGATGGGGTTTCACCATGTTGGCCAGCCTGGTCACGAACACCTGATCTCAGGTAATCTGCCCACCTCAGACTCCCAAAGTGCTGGGGTTATAGGCGTGAGCCACTGCACCCTGCCGATGCTTTTCGTGTGTAAAGTTAGTCTTCACAGCAGTCTGGTGAGGACTGTAGTATTATCATCATCCCCTTTTTGCAGATAAGGAAACTAAGGCAAGAGAGCTTAAGTAACTTTCTCAGATTTGTACCATAATAGAAAAGCAGAACCGGGACTCAAACTCATGCGCTTTGCCTCCTGAGCGTGTCTTTGAGCCACAGAGCCAGTCTTACTTGCCCAGCAGTGCTATAAGAAAAGCTAAGCAGAGACCGGAACAGGGGTGCACCGGCCACCAAATCCAGAACCTTAACGTTCTTTTCCCTGTGACAGGCTTCATCCCCCCACCCCTCATCTTCGGGGCCGGCATCGACTCCACCTGCCTGTTCTGGAGCACGTTCTGTGGGGAGCAAGGCGCCTGCGTCCTCTACGACAATGTGGTCTACAGATATCTGTACGTCAGCATCGCCATCGCGCTCAAATCCTTCGCCTTCATCCTGTACACCACCACGTGGCAGTGCCTGAGGAAAAACTATAAACGCTACATCAAAAACCACGAGGGCGGGCTGAGCACCAGTGAGTTCTTTGCCTCTACTCTGACCCTAGACAACCTGGGGAGGGACCCTGTGCCCGCAAACCAGACACATAGGACAAAGTTTATCTATAACCTGGAAGACCATGAGTGGTGTGAAAACATGGAGTCCGTTTTATAGTGACTAAAGGAGGGCTGAACTCTGTATTAGTAATCCAAGGGTCATTTTTTCTTAAAAAAAGGAAAAAAGGTTTCCAAAAAAAAAAAAACAAAACACACACACAGAGGCACAGATGCACACACACACATACACGCAGTCAGACACACCAACTTTGTCCTTTTTCTCAACATCAGAGCCAGACAGGATTCAGAATAAGGAGAGAATGAGATCGTGCGGCGGGGTCCTGGAGGCCACTCGCGCGGCTGGGCCACAGAATCTACTTTGAAGGCACCTCATGGTTTTCAGGATGCCCACAGCTGCAAGCAACAGGCACTGCCAAATTCAGGGAACAATGGTGGCCAGCTTGGAGGATGGACATTTCTGGATATACATACACATATAAAACAGAAAACGCTTTTTTAAAAGTTTACTAAAATAAAAAATTTTAAAAACCCACAAGTTGAAAACATTGCCAGATTAAGCACTAGTGACACACCCCGCGCCATCCTCCTTCTCCACATGGGGGTGGGGGCAGGCGCACAAGTCAGAGAGGTGGAAGCCCCACTCCTCTCTCTAACTTTCGCAATATGGGTCACTGTGTAGACGACTCACCCAGTCTGCATGTGGTTCAAGGCCCCAGAGTTCTCTCAGTGATGCTAATGGGTGATCCGCACTGGAGTTTGCAATTGGCACCTCTCACCAGCCCCATTTCCATGTTCAAGACTGAGGGCCTGAGGGGGCCGGGTGGAGGGCCAGCACCTCCCTGTGGCCGGCATCCACCTTCCCCTAGCCCCACAGAGTGACCTCAGGAAGCAGTAGGCCTCGCCTGGCTATGACTGACCCGGCTCAGAGCCAGTGAGACCCAACACAGTCCAAGTCATTTGCTTACATTTGCCAAACATTTTGCCACTTTTAAAAGAAAAAAAAATACAATGCATATGAATTTCAGACTGTTGTATGTACAATCCTCTAACACTATTTTTAACTACTTCTAAAATCTGTGTTAACCCTACAGTCACTAACACAGTTCTCTAGGGCGGATTTATTATGCTGGCTGCTTTTACGTTTTTTTTCCTCCTTTTTTAATGCACCAAAAATATGTGATACAAGGGATGCAATTAACCTATTGTAATTTTTATCGTTTTATCCTCATTTGGATATTCTACAAAAACAAGAATATACGATGTGTTACAAGAAGAAAACAAAATGCTTCAGAAAGAGTGTATATGCAGTCTGACTTTCAAAGAATCACTTTTGAGACAACAGGGGATAATGTGATGAATTGCAAATTTGCCTGTTAGCTTTCTTCACCATGATTCAGTGATCACTGTCATGGGAAGCCCTTTTATATTCATGCTTGACATTCCAAGAGGCTTTCTTTTCAGCCTGCGGAGGAGACACACTTAGATATGGGTTTGTGTGTATGGGTGCAACACTTGTGGCGATGGGAAAGAAGAACAGTTCCCTAGCACAAGCTGTTACGCAGTCTGTAGAATCTCTGATAGAATCACAAGCTCCTGGAAGCTATCACGTGTCCAATGTGTGAAAATGCCAGTGACATTTTCAGGGTCAGTCTTGAACTAAGGCCTTTGTCTGTGTGTGTTTTGAAAGTGGGTGAACCTCAGAGAATGAACCTGTTATGATTTGGGGTAAGAATGACGTGGGAAAACCTCTTGCAACCAGCACACTTGGTCTTCTATGACCATTTTCGTAAGGGGACAGAGCTTAGGTAACGGCACGCACTCGTATGCACACAACCAAGGGCTCAGCTAACGTACCCCTCATGCTGCCTCAGTGACATTTGTTCATGTCACACTCCTGGCCCCAGAAAAGAACTCAAAGGTTGATTGGTTAGTTTGCTTTTTCACTTTGGACACATTTGCAGTTTACCCACAAGCCAACAAAAGAATCAGGAGGTTAAAAAATGGTTGGGGTCGGCGGGGGAGGTATTGCACCAAATTTTTAATGAACATTGTAAATGAAGAGGCTTGAGTGACAATCCAAATCTAGAGAAAGCACTACGCAAGAATGACCCAAAGAAAAGCTGTGTCGTGATGTGGGGCCACCGTGATCAGCCACCTGGGGCAGGATGCTTCCAAGACAGGCCTTTCATCTGCTTAGTGTTAGTATGTCTTTGCTGATGAAAATGGGGACACTCATCAGTATGTTAACTAGTAAAGGGGAGATGGTTCTCCAACCACTTCATAAAATATGTATGTTCTGTTGTTCCTAAGGCTTTGATACTGTCCTGTACAGGTTTTGGTTTACTTTTGTTTACAAATGTATTGCTAATAGGTCACGCTTATAGATGATTGCTTGGCCCGTCAAACTCAGTACACATGCACTGAGGCCCTATGACCTAGTGTTTTATGGAACTATTTGCTTTGAGAGGGAAAAAAAAGGTTTTTTAAACTGTTTGCATTTTGAATTTTTTTAAGATTTTAGGATGAATGTGAAAAAGATGTTAGAATTAACAGGAAGACAACTCCAGGGCTGAGTTTTATCAGCAATTGGGTATAAATTTGAAGATCCTTGTTGCAAGATGGCTCTGAACTGTGTTGTGTCGTCTTTTAAAGTTTTAATTTTTCTTGTATACTACAGAACAGAAACCTCAGTCTAGTTTTCATTTGCCTTTTGTTCTCTAAAGAAGCATTGTACATACAACATTAGATCCAGCCCCTTGATTACCTGTTTGGTTTCAAGTGAATGAAGATTTCCTGGTAAGGTCTCCATTGGATTCATAGAACACAAAAATGTACGGGATGGAATAAACCTAGAAAGTAACTGCTAGAGTTCTCTCTCTTCTGCTACCAACTCTTACACCATCTCAGTTGAACATGCCCAGGGATGGATGAAGTCTCTCTGCTGAAAGTGACAGATCTTTGTAACTCCTATGTATATACCAGGAAGGCTTGGATTTTGTTTTTGTTTTTTAGCCAATATCATTCCCTCCTATGAAGTAAGCACATTCTACAAAAGTGCCTCTCTAGGGATGAGGTTTGCTGTCTTCTCTCAGCTGAGGCTGTGTGATGTCAGGCCTCAGCTGAGAGAAGGATACAGACACCCTAGGGACACAGGGCTCCAGAAGGCCACAGCATGCCATGCCAGCTTTCCTCACAGCTAACGAAGGAGGGGGAATAGCCTCCTCTCACCGTCCCCCCGAGGCGCTTGCTGGGAACGCTTAACAGGTGAAATAACTGGAAACCAAGAGCTCCTAAGATATAATTTGACAGAGTTGCTAACGTCTTCCAAGCAGGAGGGAGCATGCCCTTCCATAAAAATCCCTTCCTTTTCACCATCTGATCATGGAATAGCTTGCTCTAGCGCTGACTTGTAAAGGTTGGCTGAGTGGCATCTGTACATTCCGGTCCTCCGATGCCACTGAGCTGTGTCCAGCAACTGCCCTCCAGCTTCCCCTCACTCACACTATGGCAAGGCTTCCTAGCCCTGCTAGTGGAAAAGCCTGCTGAAATCAGCCCGTCCTTGGGATGGTAGTCACACCACTCGAGGAATTTGGAGAAAGAGGAGAAAGAGTCTCTCGTGGTTGCTAATGGATATTCTTTCACACCTTTCAGAGGCGGTCATTCATTGAGTAACATGTAAAATGGAGATAGATGCATGTACTAAAAGACAGAAACCTCCGAGGAAAAGTGGTTTCTGTCTCTCCGTCTGCCTGCTGGGCTGGTCTTCTTGCTGCCTGCTGCTTCCTGTCCTAGGAAGTTCGGTTTCTTCTCTACCCAGCCATGCCTGCCAGACCTGTGGGGTCTGTTCTAAGCCCCACTAGGAATCCCAGAGGCCCTACTCAGCAGTGGGAAGCTTATGGTCACTGTGTAGATGTCAACACATCTGATCATTAAGTCAAGACCAGATGGACAGGATGAGCTTCTGTTGCAGTAGGGTGGCGTTTTGCTGTATTTTATTGTTGCTTGAATATTTGGTTTGGTTTAGATGAGGGAAGAAACCGTGCAAGCAGTGTTTTCAGTCTAACAGGTGGAGAATACTTGTCACTGCCTGGTGCTGTTCTTACCTGACTATGTTGGTGGCTTGGGAGAACCACCTATCTGGCCAGAAGCCACAGGGAAGTAGCAGGCACTGCAGAGGCCAGCTTACTCCAGTGGGCTCTGCCACTGTCCTCTGATTGACCTCCTCCCAACCTTGATCCACGTTTCCCTTGTGAGGCTGTTTCCCCTTAGGTTAAAATCCACTTCAAATATCTAAGAGGTGCCAAATTCTCCAAGAGAGGGTGCTGGTGAAATTAAGTGTGACCTGGAAAATTAGTTCAAGACTGAAATACAGTATTTATGCATTTTCTACCCTTCCTTCCTCTTTCATTACACCTGCTTTGCCCAACTCACTCGAAACTGCTACTCTCCCAACAGCTGCAAGAATGTAATCCCTTAGAGTAAACTGCCCTAAATGACAGACTTTGGACCCCACGCCCCTAGGATATTGTCGTTGCTCAAGAGTAAACTGAAAGAATCTCCCACTGGTGGAATATGCAAGGAAGATATTTTTGTTCAAATGCCTCTGATGGGGCCTGTTGCCCAGAATAGCATGAGGAATCCACCCTAACTGCACGTGCGTGCACGCGTGTGCACACGCATGCACACACACACACACACACCTCTGTCTCATCAGTAGCTTCAACAACCCAGAGTGCTTGGTCATCATGGCAGGGACAACAAGGGTTATAAAACCTAAAATGAGAAATTTCAGGAAGCAAAGATGGCTCTGTCCCTCAGAAATCTGTGACTGCCATGGAGACAGAGCCAACAACTCACACTTCTCAGAAACTATCCACGTGGTAGTGTAATTCTTCTCTGCAGGGCTTCTTTTATTGGGAGGTGCATTATATGAGCTTGATATATTTGAAATGTGTTTTTTCATTCATTCCTTTACTTAAAATCTTGGCTATATGCCAGGTCCTAGATCAGATACAAAAGTAGAAAAGATATGGTCCCTACCCTCCAAGAACTCCCATTTAGATGAGCTGGATGGATCTGAACACAAACAAAACCAATGGGATAACAGTATTAAGAGCTAGGGTCTGTCTGTGGGTAAGGAGAGCCAATTCATGGCAGTGGTGAGTTCTGCCTCATGGCAGCAAGAATTGGGAAGGCTCTGGAGAGAGGTTGGCCCAGAAACTAAGAACTAACGAGCAGTGAGTGCCTTTTGGGGAGACAGGGTGAGAAGATGAAGGGCAGAAGGGGCCCCGAGAGCGAGCCACCAAAACACATTCACAACTTTTTTCTGTAACGGGCCAAGTAGTAAACAGTTTAGACTTAGTGAGTCTTGCAACTACTCAACTGTCGTAGTACCATGAGATCTGCCATAGACCATAGGTAAACAAATGGGCTATGTTCCAATAAAGCTTTATTTACAAAGACAATCCGTGGCTGAGGGAAGGCCACAGCGTGCCGATCTCTGTTCTCTTGCACAAGCAAGGCCTCAAGCAGCACTGTATGTTGGAGGGACCCTAGTGGCTGAGCATAGGTGAGTCAGATCCTAGCGCCTAAGATGGTGCTGCAGCGCAGGCCGGGACATACCTAGGAAGGGACCCTGAGCTAGGTGTCCATTGGCCTTAAGACCTGACCGTGAGACTCTAACTGAGATACCTCATTTCCAAGATAAGGTAAGTACCCCTTTGCTGTCATGTAACTAAAGGCAACATTATTTTCCTCTTGTGTCATGTGGGGAGGTTTGAACTGTGTAGTCTACGTTCCCATACAGCTGTGACACTGGGTAGCTGGGCTGCAGTAACCATCCTTTTTTTCTTAAGTGATGGACATGGGCATGTGAGGAAAAAATGTAGGAACTAGAAAAAGAAGAGTGAGTCCAGATACCAAATAGTATTTCCAATCCTTTGCCTCCCCACAACCAACACAAAACACTGGCACCCTAAAGCTAACAGATACGCCACATGAAATACTTGGTAAGCACTAATAATAACAACTACTAATCGTGGCTAACATTTCTCAAGCATTTACTATGAACCGGCTGCTGGCCAAGCTTATTTCATGTAGTAGCTCATTTAATCTCAACTGTAACCCTGTGAGATAGGAGCTGTTATGGGCTTCATTTTACAGCGGAAGAAAATGAGGCTTGGAAGCTTCCAGAACTGGCACAAATTCACAAAGCAGAGCTGAGATTCAAACCCAGGTCTATCAGCTCTGTGTCCTTAAAAAGCTCTTCTTATTCCCAGACGGACCCATAATCATTATGGGTACTACCTCCTTACTGGGCAAGACACGGACCCACCGCCCTCCCCACCTTTAGACCACTGATCAGGAAGACTCTGGCCCAAGTGAACTATGGGGCCCTACACACTCTCACAGGCCTCCTAATGTAACAGCCAGGACACCATGCCAGCTGTGTTATGGGGATGTGTGCTTTCATTTGTCCTTCTTGCTCTTAACCCCTGATCCCAGTGGTCCATTGATATGAGGTGTTTTCCCTGAAACGGACAGATAAAAAGAATCAGATAGGACACTCCACTCTAATGCATTCCAAAATGCACTCTCAAAGCACCAAGATGCCAGGGAGGCCCTTCACCGCATTATCAGCTTTCTTGGGGAGACCCAGATAACTGCCATGCCCGGCACCCCTGAAGTCTACAGCATCAACCACAAGAAATCAGCTCTGTCCGCAGGGCTTCAAACACACTGAAGCTGGTCCCCAGTTGGATATGTCTTGCTCTATTCTCAGATTCCAGGCTTTTAGGAGCAGAATATCCATACATTTCCATTTCTGTAATAATGACCCAGGTCAACAATCAGGAGTTGGTGATAATCATAAATTTTGAATTTTTTCCCGTAAGGTAGAATCATGTTCTTTTGCCATGAGCAAATGGAACAACATAGTAAGTTTCCTGGAGGTTTAACATTCTGTAAGTGGACACTTTTGCCATATATAAGACACTTTTGTCTTATAGAAGACTCTCACACTAACCTTATAAAAGATTGCTCTCATGGAGACATGTTTGGCAAAACTATTTGATTTTATACTCTAAGGCCATAAAATGAGTTGGAAGCATAGGATTTACAAAATGTTGTTACGAAAGGATCCCAACTGAACACAAATGGTGCTCCCATCCACACTTAAAGGGAGGGAAGGGGCCGGGAAGCTCATGCTTATTAAACACCTGCCACCCACATGCCGGGTTCTATAAATTCATGATCCCAGGTACTGCTCCCAGCAGCCTTCTCACACCAGCCCTACGAGGTAAGTATTTTTTCCACTTTACAGATCTGAAAATGAAAGCTCAGCAAATCCAACCTTTCTAAGATTACATAGCTAGTTTATAAAGCCACCAGGAGCCACTGACCGATGTGTTTTGATTCCTAAACCAGCCCTCTTTCCACTATAACACACAGCCCCCGAAGTTAGAACACAGAACTGGCTTCTTAGGAAGCCTCTACAAAGCCAACGGAGTGTCTCCCTGTGGGAAACCCCTAACAGGAGTCTATGGTTTCATAGAGAAGTGAGCCAAGAGTTGGAGGTGAGAACCTCTGCAAAATTTTGCCTATTGGCACAGGAATCAGGGTTTCACTTTGATCATTAAATGTTAAACCTTTTACAACATTTTTCCTTTCTCCTTCAACCTTAGCCACATCAGCAGGAATTTCCCAGCCATTCATCAGCCTTTATCTTATTCATTCTGCTGAGCAGGGATCAACCCCAGCTCTCTAACTTCTGTCCCACCCTTCCCAACTCCCACGCCTGCGTCTTTTAGAGGAACCCCAAGACTATAAGAAATTGGGCCTTGTGAGAGTTAAGGAAGCATGCTCCAGCTTGCTCAGGACTCAGGTTTCAGCTTCAAAATCTCGAGAAAAGGAATGACATTTCCAAACTGTCACCTTTTGTACCACTGGGTCAAAGTCTAAAGAGGACAAATGAATGAACAGTGACTTCTGTGGCCTCATGTTGCCTATTACTGAACAGGAGAGCTGCATGTCATGGTCAGTGAGCCTTGCACAGCTTGTGAATCATCACAGGGACTAGTCGTGTTTTTAATACCTTTAAAATGAAACCACAACATCTATTCTGGAAAGGTGGCATAGGCTTACAAACCTTGCTCCAAAGAGGATATCATTTTACCCAGCGTGCAGTCAATATCTGTGGCTCCAAAAAAGCAAACTGTCCTGAATGCTGGAGGAGAAAGTGTGACATTGTGATGCCAGGCCATTTTCTCTGACACTCAGCAGTCTCTTCCGTAGAGATGCACGGTGACACATACAGCCCTAGAACACAAGGTCTGTCACTAGTGATTTACGTAAGACAAGGATAAACTATTGACTGGGATACATCTTACTCATCACCAACATCTGCTTGGCTGTTGGGATGGTCACGCAGATAAATATCCTACTTAGAAAGGATATTTGGCCTTCAAAAAGGTCTCTGGGCTCAGAATCTGGCCCCTTGGGGTTACGTGGAATGAAAACCAGCACTTTATTGCTTCGACTGCCTACTCTTGTCCCTTCACTGCAAAGCCATCATGCTATTGAATAAGCCTAACAAAAAGTAGGAGAAGCAGAAAAGACCGATCTCTTTTTCCTCTTGGCTCTTCCCTCCTCCCCTTTTAGGCACAGAGTACCAAGACATTGAGACTGAGAAAACCTGCCCCGAATCACATTCACCTTCAGAAGACTCCTTTGTGAGAAGCTGAGGGCCTGGCCCTCTTCCTCTTCCTGCAGAGAACAGCCCACCATCACCCACAGACCTCGCGGGCCTCACTTAGCGTGCTCCTCCCTGCCCAAGAACCTGAGGGTCCCCATGTGGATTATCCAGCCAGTGTGTGGTCCTTTGAGGCCTCAAGCACAGGCCTATGATGAGGGCTAAGGAGGTGACCTATGGTCAGGCGTACTCCCAACAGCTGTCAGAGTAGGCATTTTTCCTGGGTCTCTTAAAAAGTCATGCCAACCTGGTGTGCAAATTCCCTTCTGCCCATCCCTCCTCTGCCTCCTCTGGGGATGTCTTGCCAACATGCTTTACAAACTCCCCTCTAGGGAATGCTCCTCTGACCGAGGGCTTCAACAGCTGTAATGACATCAGCCAAGGGGGGGTAAAGACCACCCTGTTGCACAGAATGGAGGGGGAAAAAGCACATACTCAATAGATTTTTGAGTGTGGTATTCTGTATTTTTGCAGCTTATATTTTCCAAATGAGCAGTTTAGAAATATGTGATGTAAAGTACATACTGTACGTTTGCTGAAAATTATATTAAAAGCACTATTTTAATTCTTCCTCTGTCTCATGCTGTAATCTCTGTTACCTTTCTCTCTTGTGCCTTCAGGTAAACCGATTCTAAAAGACTCTGGAGAATGTTTCTGGCCATGTGTTTTCTATATTTATGGGCTTTGAGATTATGGACTTAAGAGAGTATGAGCTTTAGAACCAAAAAGAGACCTGCGTTCAAATCCCTACCCCAGCACTTGCTGCTGGTGTGATGTTAATGTGTGATCTGACTTGTCTTAGCCCCAGTTTCACCATTTGTAAAATGGGAATATTAATGCCTGCTTCATACAACTATGTAAGACTTAAATTAGATCATGTGTAATTAGATCATGTGTAAGATACCAAGTACAACATACAGGACAGAAATTGTCATTGTTCATTACTGCCTCAACCACTGGCTGGAATTAGATGCTCCCCAGCCCTGATGCAGCTTCTGCTGATACATGTAGTGGTCCTATCCTGTCACTGTCTCGTTTTCATTTCTGATTCTCCCACTGTCTATAAAGCCTAGGAGACAGGCAATTGGCTTCATCTCACAACAGCCCCACTGTCTGGGGTAGTGCACGTAAGGCTGGTTGCCTCGCCAGGAGTTCGAACATGCCCATCTCCCTCCCTGCTGGAAAATTACATTATCAGAATATGCCCATCATCTAGCTCTGCCTTGGAAATCCCCTCTGCACTCAGCATTTAGCCCACTTACCGGAAATCCCACCTACATACCAATAGCAGCTCACCCCGTCCATATCCTGTTTCTCCAAATCCAATGGAACACCTTCACTCCCTATAAAACCCCACTCCTGAGAGGAGTAAGGCGTGACTTCCCTGGCCCCTCTCCCTGGGACCACAGAACCTTGCCCAGGAGCTGAATAAATTGGCATCTAATTTTCTTGCACTGGCCTCAGTTTCCTCGTTTTTAACTCGGCAATAAACCTACAGAGAATAAACTTTACAGTGCATGTCATTCAGTGGGTGATTAATCAATATGTAAATGATTAAATGATGAAAAAACAGCCTCAGACCCAGTCCCCTTCCTCAGTGGAAACTACAGCATTAGTCTACCTTTCTACACAAGCCACCCAGTGGCTTTCCCATAACTTGCTAGGCCTCTTCGTAATTGGCTGGCTTCACCTCCACATCTTAATTAGTTCACTGGATGGACTGTGACCTCATGTGAGCAGGTAGGTTGGGTTGACACCTGCCAGTGACTTGCAGAGTGGAGTCCCCACTGCATTACTCCACTGGCCAGACGGGAGCTCCAAGCATGGATGCTTGCCAGAATTCTATCTGTGCTTTGTCTTTTGGGTAGGAGAGCTAGAATGGCTCCACTTGTCTTATGGGGCTAGCCCCATAACTGACTCACTTTTTTTCATAGTTCTCTCCATCCTGAATCTTGTCCTTATAGCCCATCATCCACTGCAGTAGAGCTCACCCCAAATCAAAGCTTGGCAAATCTATTATTATTTGAAGACTGCACCTACCTTACCCTGAGTTGTCTTTTCACCCTGAGGCCTTAGGGGGTCAGGAAAGAGTGTGTTTGCCCTTCTTCGAGGCCTAATTATAGGTCCTTGGTGCCTTAGGGGATTCTTTTTTGTTCTGGCCCTGTTATTTATATGATTTATATTTTTTTTGCAAAGCAACATGATTTATTCTCTCTGGTGTAAAAATCCCAAGAAAAATGCAATTTCAACATTCTCTGTCCTGACGTGAAAAGATGCTCAAGCAGCTGAAAAAGTTCATGGTTCCTCCTGGGCTTCACCTGCACCAGAAATTCAGATGGAGGCAGAAGAAGGAAAAGGAGTAGGGAAAGGCCATCACTTAAGGTGTTGGTGTGTTCAGGCCCACTTTTTACATTTGTTTTCATCTATAGTCCAGTTTATTTTCCCAGGCTACCATTTCCCCATAAAGGTGGTCAAGTTAAAGAAAGCTTATTCTCTCCATTTTATCTCAGCCTTACAAAAACATATTCTTACAGTCAAGAGATTCATCTTTCAATAGTTAAGTGGATTCATGAGAGATCTGTCCATAAAGGCTGTCCAACTATTAATAACTCAGGAAGAATACATGGCTTCATCAGACCCCCAGATGTCCCCTCTTCCCAGTGTCCTCTCAGCTGTGTGGGCCACCAGAGCCTTGAACTACATACACAAGCGGCTCATCTTCCAGACCCGAAAGTCCAACTTGACCTCCTTCCCAGTCTTCAAGAAAGGGTTAGCCACGCAGTCAAGCATTTGGCTCAACCAAAACGATGGCAGGCTGTTTCTGTGGCCCCGTAACGTAGATTCAGAACCACTCACACATCCACTTTACAAAGAGGCTTTGTTACTTAAGGAACTACTGCTACAGAACAGCTTCCATAACTCCTGAGACAAACGCCTGCAGTTAATGCACAAGGCAGACTCGCTTGCTTTCCTGAAACCTTTAAAAAGCGTCTTAACCTTCTTGAGTTCTATTTCTAGTTATAACATACATGAACATGTATTTATGGGATGCCCGAAGGAGGGTACTGCAGATCTTCCAGAATCCTGCTTCTCTGTTGCTCATAAAATGAAGAGGACAGAACAGTAAGCTGGGGTGACCCATGCCTAAGCTTGACCAGGGACTTGAATTCAGTATGACAGGTGCCCCTGGTCTCCTTCAGAGAGGAAGTTTTCTCCTGTGAGGCTTCTCTACATCACACATCACTGAGCCCGTCACCACAATATGTAGGTGCAACTGAAACTTCCGCACAATGAGAAGGAAATGGAAGGCCCCTGTCCCCAGACTCTACACCACTCAGCTGGCAGCTGGCTCCTTTTTTCCTTCTGAAGCTGACCTCACCCTCCATCTTATGCTTCCATTTCTGTGGGAAATCATTCTGTGTTGAGACAACTATATTTTCATAGTAAAAATGACTGTTTGATGTAAGTTAAAAAAAAAAAAAGCTCAAAGAAAAATGACAATTCTTTCCCATTGTTTCTAAAATCATCATTTTCTAGCTCTAAGTTTTGTGCACGTGACTAGACATGACAGTGCAATGCTACAAAAGGAGACATTCCTCTTCAGCAGGAGGTTGGAGATGAGATTTTATTTCCATCGCGTCTGTGCCTGCGGATGCGACGCTTGAAGGGTCACATAACTGTCGGTCATTTTCTCAGGTGCTGTTACTGGATTTATTCTGGCAAAGCCACGGAGGCAGCTGGGGAGGAGAGTACAGAGTGAAGCCCTGTGCTGGCGAGGAGGGAGCTGCATGGGCCTGAGGAGGCCTCACTCTGACTTGGTCTCACCCTCTACTTCCTGCATCCCATGCTCTCTGGGAAGATGGACTCTGAGGAAGATGGTTGGTTTCATTCCATATTTCAAATGCATCTATGTCAGATTAAAGCAAGGCCATGACTTTTGGCAAGTTAATATGGACAGGACTCCATGAAGTCCTCTGCACACAGTGGACACTTCATAATTGAGGGCAATAGGAGAGCAGGATGACTTAGGGGAGGGGTCCCCAACACCCCTAGCCTCAGACCGGTACCTGTGTATGGCCTTTTAACAACCAGGCTACACAGGAGGACATGAGTGGTGGGGGAGCCAGCATTACCACCTGAGCTCCGTCTGCCTCCTGTGATGGCAGCAGCAGCAGCATTAAGGCATGGACCCTGCTGTGAGCGGCGTATGCGAGGGATCTAGGTTGCGCTCCTTGTGAGACTCTAGTGCCTGAGAATAGTTCTATCAGGACACCATCCCCACACCTCCCACCCCCAACTCTCTCCATCCATGGAAAAGTTGTCTTCCATGAAGCCAAAAAGGTTAGGGACGGCTGGCTTAGAGGAAAGAGCAGGTAACAGGTTTGCATCCTGGGGGTTCAACCACTTTTCAGCCTGGCCAGGTTAGCAAGTCAAGATTCACTCTAAACCACAGTCTTCACGTGGCTGTGAAATGAAAGAGCCGCCTGCTTGGCAGAGACATCATGAGAATTCAGTGTATGTATACAGCCTAGCGTCAGTCCACGGCGGGGCTCAGGAAGTCATGAGTTTCATTGAGAAGTCTCATTTTTAGCCGTATAAATACAAAAACGCTTCTGTTTGCCAATATTTGTTACCACTCTTTTCTTTGGGAACCCTCTTTCCTGCTGAGTAGCGACTCCCTTAATGATTTCTCAGTCAATTCCTTAATGTTTTAGTCATTTCTACTTATAGAAGGAGCTTTGCTTCACTCATTAAGATCCAGTCTTGACCATTTGAGAACTTCATCCTCCAATACCGTTTAACCCCCACAATGGCAGGCCTGGCCTGTGGCTCGGGGGACCTATGATGAACGAGGAAGTGTGGTCTGCCCTCTCCTACTCCTTGCCTCTTCCCTGCCCCAACCAGGCTCCAGATGGAGGTGTGGGAGCTGAAGAGGGGTGTGAGGTGCATTCAGCCAACCGCACGTGGCTAAGCTTGCTGCTGTCACTGACCATCACTACTGATGGGCTCCACCTGCCAAGTGTCTGTCTGGAGGCAGGCAGGCTCCCATAAGCCCAGCTGAAGGAGAAAACCATCCAACACTCCCTTCTGCTCTGGGGCCCCCTTTTGAGAGGCAGCTCCAACTCCCAGCGAACTCTCAGTTACCAGCTAGCAGTTCCACCCCACTGCAGCAAGCACTCGTTACCCCTGCATGGGTTAGTCCCAGGGAGGCCTACAGCCCAACCTCATCTTTCCTTTTAGCTTGAACTCTAGGTCTGAAGTATAAGAAGGGCTCTTAGTCCCAGCTCTGAGTGACAGGTAGCTTCCAAGTGCTGTCCTTGCCTCCCTCCTCCAGGGTCCCATCTTTCCAGTGTACTCCCCACACCTCTTCTCAGCCAGCTCTGATAGCAACAAGACATGTTGGCGTGTCCACAGGTTCGGAGGACTTACAACCAGGATATGACCCCCAAAGTTTATAAGCCATGCTTTGGGGACACCCCTCCCAAACAGTGCCTCACTTCATTAACATTACTCTTCTCACCCAAAAAGGTGACCTCTCATGCTGTTTTCCAGCCCTTTGTGTGTTTTGG